GGAATGAATGACTAATGGCTCTAAATCTCAGAGTAAGACTGTCCATTAGCGCTGTTGTAGCCAGCTTTGTTTTGAAAAGGCTATAAATGTTTTTGGGGGTCCAGTGTGATTGGGATAGGGATAACAATGCAGGAAAACAGACAGTATGATCACGGCAATCTTCTTTCCTTAGGAAACCAGGCTACAGATGGCAGACATGGCTAGTGGCCAGGCCTTCACAACTGCTTTAATCAATGAGCTTTGATGGAAAGTTCAAAATTACAGAAGGCGTTCCTCAGTAAATGTGTGTGTTCACCAACAAAAGCTAGCGGGGACTGCATGTTGTTGAGCTGGCTTGTCCTGTTAACAAGTAAAGGTTCAGCTGGCTAAGTGCTGGTCATCCGCTGGGTGAATACTAACACAGCCTTTGGCTCTCACTGGAGACAGCAGAGGCTGCGTATGTTTCTCTCCAGTGGTGCCCTCCATGCTTACCAATCCTGAATGGCAATGTTTCCGGCTCTTTCAGCCCTGCTCTCCCTCCCACCCTGCCAAGGTGTCCGAGGCGTAACCTGCAGAAGCTCTTAGTCTCTCCATGCCACTTGCTTTTCTGAAATGTCCCTGACCTCAGTTCTGCAAGCTGGCTTTTCCGATGTGTGGAGGGAGGTGAAATCCCTAGCTCTGTTGAGGTTCCGTGAACTAGACAGTCATTTGAACCAGTCATCATTTGGTCGTGATTTTACAAAGTGGCAGATTTGTGCCTTTGAGATCCACTTCACCCAAGCCAAGTCCTTTTACCAAATACCCCACAGAAGCACAAAAGGAAGTTCAGAACACAGAAAAATGTCGGGAATCTGGGTCAAGTCCTCTCACTTGAAAGTCTCTGTATATGTTCAACACAAAACAGATAGGCATGCTCAGTGAGGCTGGTAACCCTACATATGTGAAACACATCTCTATTGCTCAGGTCCTTACAAAGTAGGTATATGCAGTGCTAAACCTTCTCTAGGCTCCAGGCTGCATTACGTAGAGCTCCTCAAGCAAGAAAAGGCAATCCTTGCCTTGCTGACAGGTGGAGTAGCACCCTCTTCACTGCTGAGAAGGCTGTGGCAGCTATTGATGCTCGCATGGATTTTTCCTCGTTATGCACATCATGAGCCTTTGTTTCTTACCAAACTATTCACTGCAGGCTTTTCCTCTGTCTGCTGGAATGGATTTGTCCAGGGAAACGTGTTCTTCTTTCACCTTCGAGGTTCTTGAAGGGAACTTCTCCTGAGGGACTTCTGCGGCAAGTCACCCAGCCACATGGTAGCACTGAGCTCCTCATTAGCCTCAGGGTTATCTTGGGAGTCGTCTTCTCTGTAGTCTTTTGTTGTTTTCTCATGTCTGTGACTTCAAAGGTGGCTTTACTGAAGGTGTATTCCTCTTCCCCTTTCCCCATACACATACAAAGGGAATTTTATTTTAGTAAGATAATTCAGGGTCAGGCCTGGGTTACTGCAGTTTTGTGGATGGTGCTTTCATCTCACCATTAGGGACTATGCTGTAGTGACTAACTTTGAATTTTCAGTCCTGGAATACAGACACATTGAATTGCCACTCATGGATGTAATTACCTTGATATAATAGCACAATATACGCGCACAATGTTTTGTGATATTAATGAACAGGCGTTTACAGGTACCGAAAGTAATTGACAGTAAGAATAAGAGCATGATGTGCAGCAGCCCTAATCGAAAAATGAGAATGCCACTGTGCTAGGCGTGGTGCAAACACCCAATAAAAATAGCACGTTTGCACATAAAAGCTTCTATGAGGAATAACGGGTGGGGAGATTTCATTCCACATGCCATAGATGAAGAAAACAGGGGCAAGAAACCTCAGATGGGCTTCAGGACAGCCCAGGTTTGGCAGCTGTGGAGCCAGATCACGCCAAGCCTCGCTTCCCCTCTCAGCACGTACACGCCGTTGCTGGCATCCCCTGGCCTTAGATCCTAGCTCCGTACTGGTGCAGGTGACGGCACGACTCCAGCCACATCTGACGTGCGGAAAACAGACTCCACAATCTGTAAGATTGTAAAGTAGG